TATGCCGTCGAGTTGGCCCTGACTCATAGCGACCCCTCCTTGGGTTTCCGAGGCAGTATCACTACGGAAGTAGGATTGCCCAACCTTCCTTCCGAGGAGTGGCTGGTGGGTTTGAACCGCCAGCCTTCTGGTTAGCAGTCAAGTGCCTTAGGCACTATGCTACCAGAGCTCCTTCTTTTGTTCTTTAGTATTTAGCAAAAAACAAACAAACAAAACTACAACTAAACTCACTACCGTCAAGTTGATTCTGACTCATCTCAACTCTATAGAACAGAGTAGAACTGCCCTATAGGGTTTCAAAGGCTATAAATCTTTACGGAAGCAGACTGCCATATCGTTCTTCCGTGGAAAGGCTGGTGGGTTTGAACAGCGACCTTTTGGTTAGCAGCCAAGTGCTTTAGCCACTGGGCCACCAAAGCTCCTTTAATAGTTAGCAAAGCCTGTTGGAAAATGGCTAACAGCAAGAGCTGCTACCGGAATGAGTCTCTGAGTCTGAACCAAAGTGTCAGAGGGGAGGAACATGCTCCTCCCCATTATACACACTAGTAACTGAAAGCAGCTTCCCTCAAGGCCAACGGAACAGAGGGGAGGCCTTTGGTCAGCTGTTCCTCCCTTCCTGGACCAGTGTTTGAAAGGGATGGGGTTCCACACATAGCCACGCTGTGCACACTCTTTCCTTCTCACCCTTCACAGACCTCAGTTTCAGACCTAGAGAGGTGGAGGTTCAGGTATGGGCTGTGGATAGGAATTAGGCTAATCAGGGAAGGCATCCTGGAGGAGAGACCTGGAAGGCAGATTTAGAAAGGAGAGGAGGCCAGGGCAGAGGGAAAAGAAGGGAGGAACATGCCCCTGGAGTCCAGGCCTTCGATGATTAAGTACAACCAGATGTGCTGGGAATCTCCTGACAGGCTCAGACCCAGTGAGGGCAAGGTGGGGGTGGGGAGAGTCCTGAGCCACTTGGATTTCCAGGTCCACCTTCTGCCCTGGGTCTGTAAGCTTTTGGTAGGGGAGAAGTCCAATGACATTGCAGAGGGGCTGGCATGTTACAGGGTGGCCCTGAAGGCCTGCGTAGCGTCCTCTGCCTTTGGGCTCTAGTGTGCAGGTTCTATGCCTGAAACCTAGAAAAAAGTATTAGGAGAACTCTGGTGTAGGAGCTACTAGCTCTGATAGGGGTGGAAGATAGCTAGAGAAGGCTTTATACAGAAGGGCACATCTGAGCTGGGTTCTGAAGGATGAATAGGAGCTCACCAGGCATAGTTGGGGAAATATTTCAGGCAGCAAGACTTAGAAGTATAAAAGGGTATGAGTGCTTCATGAGAAGTTCTTTGGGACTGGGTTATAAGGTACTTGGGGTACTGGCCCAAAGGCTGTACTGCAAGGTAGGGGGAGCTTTTGCTCACAGACCAAATGGAAGGGCTAAGTGTGGGGTGAGGTGTTTAGAAGTGGAGTGTTGGGTACTCACATGCTGGGCCCCGGGGGTGAGGTGGGGGCTGAGAGCCAGCCCACGCTCCTCCTCCCAGGTCTGACACTGTGGTCTGATACGGGGTTGTGTCTGCCCTCTGTCCAGAGGACAGGGCATCATCCTAGGCTAGATGTGGGGTGGGGGTTGGACTCAAACACAGCCTGTGACACAGTGGGAAATATATTAACAAGTCTAACACTTGAGGACCCTGAGATCCCACTTCCGAAAACCTTCCCCCACCCCTGGCCCTCCCATCTGGTCTGTGATCAGAAGCTTCTCCCACTTCATAGTACGTAGCCTTTGGGCCAATACCTCCTGTACCTTATTATCCAGACTCACACAACTTCTCACTAAACATCCACACCCTTTTTTTTTTTTTTTTTTTTTAATACCTAAGAGTATGTGTGTGTGTGTGTGTGGAGGGCAGTACAGAGGGCTGGGCAAGGTTAGGGAGACACTGGAAATTGGGCCTTGAAGACCAAACAGCCAGAAAAAGGGGTAGGACTTCCATTTGTGAGGGGAGCAGGCTGAGCCCAGGACAAGTGAGGGGGTAACAGCCAGCTGGGTGTGGTGTCCTTTGGGTAAGCCTGCCTTTGGGTATCCCCTAACCAGGACACATTTCCTTCCTTTCCTGCTTTATGACTCCTGAGTGGCAGACCCAATGGACCACAAAGAGCAGTCTCCCCGCCCTTTCCTCTTCCTCTCTTCCATTTCTTCCTCCCTTCCTCTCCCCTACCCCTACCTCATCCTTCCCTAGAGACTTTTTCTTTCCTTCCTCCCTACCCCACCTTGCTTCTCTCTCCTTCACTCTCTCCCTCTCTGGCTTCTACTTCCTCCCTCTAACTTTCCTACCTCCCATCAAAACCCTTAAAGCCACCCATTCTCCCTAGAACAGCTGAGGTTATCTTCATAATGTCCTAAGAAAGGCCCTGTAGGAATTCTCTGGACTAGGACGGTCTCTCTCTCTCTCTCACACACACACACACACACATCTATCCATACACACTTATGCGCTACACACAGACACCAGCAAGCTTGCAGGAGCACTCAGCTACACTGAAGTACACAGCACCTGACCTCCCTAGGAGTGGGGTAGGGACTGGGATTCTTCACCTTGGATGTGATACAATCAAAAGGGCTTGTCCCTCTAGGATGGTGGCTGTGGCTCCCTTTCATCCTGCTTTACTGGTTCCAAAGCCAGAGGCTGCCCTAGCATCCTGAGCCTTAACACATCCTCTCCTGTCCCAGGTGTATGAAGTCTTAGGAGTAGAGGGTAGAGAGGAAGAGAGAATTCTGGTTTCTGCAGAAACCAAGCATTACCGCCATCATTGCCACTATTATTATCCAATCCATTGCTTGGCACTTGACCTGCCTGGGAATGATCACAGCAACCAGCCTGATCTCGGCTCTCAAGGCACAGACTCCTTGGCTGGGGACAGCTAGAAGTGTCAGGAGGGAGTCCTCAGAGATCAGACCCCCAGGGCCCCGCCCAGGAGGGCAGGAGGGAGAGACATGATGAAGGGCCATTTGCCAGGATTGAGTATTTGTCAGCCTAGGAGGCTGGATGATGTATTAACAGGACTTTAATGAGCTTGGGGAGGGGGAGTCACACTTCATTGCCTGAGCACTGGTGCAGGATGGGGGCTGCGTAGTGAAGTGAACAGCCTTACCTCACTCGCTAACTAAACTCCTTAATACGACTCATGGCAATTTGCCCATCTCCACGATGCTTCTCCACAACACTGAACTCCACTTTGTGGAGTCCAGCAAAGGCCTTCTCCAGATGTTCATCCATCCTAGTATCTCATTTCCTTAGTGTCTTACTGAGAAGGCTTTCCTTAGGTCTAACCTTGTCCTTCCTACCAGAACCTTCATGGAAGGTTCTCTTCTCCTGGGCTCCTGGAGGATAAATTAAATTCTTTCTTTCAACCTGAGCCCCTCATTCTAACCCTATACCCACCATCCTCTCCTCCCCTGGAACCTGGTGGATCGTGGCCCCAGTTATACCCAGAGGCAACGCTAGGCTTGGCTTCTTGACACCAGTCCTGTTGGGTGAAGTCCCTTAGCTCATACGGACATTGGCCTCTCCCTTAACTCCTTCCTCTGGGCCTTAGGGAAATTGACAGATGGGGTGGAAAGAGTATGGTGGACTCTCCATCCAGCTCTGCTATGTGACCCCATGGAAGTCATTTCTCCTCTTTGGGCCTCAGTAAGAAAATATTCAAGGAGTTCCTTCCAATTCTGTTATCCTGGGCTTGTTCCTCTAGGATGGTGGCTGTGGCTCCCTTTCATCCTGCTTTGCTGGTTCCAAAGCCAGAGGCTGCCCTAGCAGCCTTAACACATCCTCCCCTGTCTCAGGGTGTAGTCTTAGGAGTATAGGGTGGAGAGGAAGAAAGAATTCTGGGAGGTGGAGAAGACCCAGACCATGACCTTGGTGAGCTTTAGAACATGCTTGGGTGCTGGTCTTGCTTCTGTGTGTGGATTGGGGAAGAACTGAGAGCTGTTGGAGGCCACTAACTTCCCTTTCCCTGAGTGGCACCCACAGGGATGCCCTGGGCCCATCGTCCCCAGAGTCTCCAGAGGAGTCTTCATTGGGAGTCCTCATTACAAAACACAGAGGAAAGAACCCTACTCTGTTAGCTGGTGGGGAGGGATGAGGGGTGCAGGGGCAATCTTGTCCTACAGGTACTCAGAGAGGCTGAGCAGCCATCCAGAAGGAAAAGACACCTCAGAAGAGAAGGATCATTGAATCCTGGTGTTGAATGAGAATATGGATGGCCTTGGGAGCCTCTGTGTGTTCTAGGAAACTTATATGGACCTTCAGCCTAAGTGCAGCCCCTCCTCCTACAGCCTCCTGGGGCAAGGCTAGCTCCCTGTGGGCTGCTTGCTAGGCCTTTATCATCCATAAAGCATTGTGTCTCCCCCTGGACTGGGATAGAATTTGGTCTACCCTTGAACTGCAAGCTCCATGATGGCAGGGCCCTTTCGGCTCTCTCAGGGATCCCCAGCGCCCAGCCCAGTGCTAAGCACAGAGTAAACTCTCAATACATACCTAGTGAATGAATATAATGAATATATCAATATATCAATGAATGCCTTGGACATCTCTGAGCAAACCAGAGGTCTGGGGGATTCATCTTCCATCTTCACCTCCACTCATCCTGCCAGGGTTAGTGTAAATGTCACCTTCTTGAGGAAGCTCTCCAGGGAAGCTTGTCATTTAGAAGTCACACTACACTCTGTGCTGCCTAGGTCCTGGGCTCTGCTCTGCTCATTGCCTCCAGTGTGGCATTACTGCAGAGCTGTGGCCTTGCCTCTCTCTGCGTCCTGCCCTTCTGCATCCTGGGCTGGCAGAGTCGGTACTCAGTAGGTGCTCAGTTTACCTGGGGGTTGGGCGGGGGATGAGGGAGATGAGTAACCTTGAGTCAACAAGGCTTTGGCCAAGGCAATCCCGGGAGAGAAGGTCTTGGGCTGCTAGCGGACTGTGAGCTCGGCCGGCTGCTTTCCCCTTTGCCCTTCGACCCAGAAAGCCACTCACACCCAGTGGACATGCTCCGCGGGCCAGGCTGCTCCCCCACAACCGCGATCGGCTCCCGGACCTCTCCTCGCCTGCCGGACCTCCGCCTCCACCCCAACTTCCCGCTCCGACAGCCGACAGTCCCTGAGAGGCGGGGGCGGGCAGGCCTGAGAGTGGCGCAAGGATACTCTCCACACCAAAGGTCATTTGCTCTTTTTTTCCCCCCCCCACTCTGTGGCTAATTTATTTTAGAGCTAGGGGAGGGCGGGGGGCGGGG